ATTGCATTGGGCAAAAATTGGAGATATGGTGTGCCCCCACGCACCAAAGGATTACACATTCGCACTGCACTATGCGTTTAGGGTCATTTGAACTAATTAGGACTATAAATTAAACCAAATTAGTTAGGGTTAGTTAGCTAGTTGGGTGACAACTAGTTAAACCCTTAACTTAAAAAAAATTATTAGCCCACCTAGCTCCCTACCTATTTGGATAGGCTACAGCTAAAAATTAGCTCTAACACACCCTATTATGGGCATGCTATTCTTGTTGGATCCCCTCAACGTTGAATTCCTATATGCTTTGTAATAACGGTAATGCTCTGGACCGGACGTCTGTCTGTCCGGAGGCTCCGTTGCTGGGCCACGACACTAGCCCAACAACCCACACTCCTTCGTTTCTCAAAAAAAAAATTGATCATCCACTTATTCATATCCACTCGTTCCTCTTCCTATCGCTCTTATTCGCTCACCTGCCACCTCCGAGCTCACGACCGCTGGCCCTACGAGGCTCGGCTGCCTCCGAGGCACACCGCTCGGCCGCTGGTCTTGCCAGGCACGGCGCTTTGCTGCCGGCCCAGCCAGGCGCGACGCGTTGCTGCCCTCTCCAAGTCACGCAGCCGCGGCCTCCCCATTGCTCGTGCGGCCAATGCCTCCCTTCCACGATGTGCAACCATCGCCGCCGCCCGCCGCTTACAAGCGTCACTGGGTTGCTGCCTCCGGTGAACACCACACATCGACGAGCCTCCAACCTGCCGAGAAACAAGGAGATGTTGCGTTAAAAACGCATGATGCAAGAGTATGTTTCAATTGTTTGAGATGTTTCAGAGGTATGCTGCAAGTGTTTCATATGGATGTTGCAAAAATAGATCGTGATGTTGCACATGTTGCAATAGTTGTATACGTATGTTGCAAGCGTCCATTTCAAATGTTTCATGTGCTTTTTTAGACATATGTTGCAAGTGTGCTTATTTGGATGTTGCATATATTTCACACATATATTGCAAGTGTATGTTCAAAATGTTTCGGCCATTTCAGTCTTATGTTGCAATTAGTGCTTCCATGTTGCAAGTTGTAAGTGTTTTATCTGAATGTTGCATATGTTTTATTCACATGTTGTAAATGTATGTTCCAAATATTTGATCTGCTTCAGACTTATGTTGTGTTTCATGTTGCAAGTGTTTCGTGTTTCAGAGGTATGTTCAGAGAGTCATGCGGACACGGCCCGGGCGCCGGGGGAAGGGGCGCGGCGCGTCGAAGGCCGGCGGATGGGGCGCGGCGGGCCAGGGTCCTGTGGATGGGGCGTGCTCATCTTCATCCTGGCTCTCGGGTCCCGCTCGCGTGGAGATAGAGGAGTGGGAAGGAGCGACGAGCGTGGGACGGGGCGAGACGGACAGGAGCGGGGTGTGCGTGCGTGGTGGGGCGAGGCAGACGAGTAAGAACTACAGCAATATGATGGGAGTGCGACACGTCTCTACTGGACCGTTCAATTCCGACCGATGGAATCCTATCTCATCGGATGTTCGGGCACCAGCAATTCCGAAACTCTTTTGTTCGTAATGAAACATGTGCGCAGACTCGTTTTCAAGGACGAGTTAGAAAACGGAATGAAATGCAAAGCAAAGAAAAGAAATGGAACGGAGTTGCAGTTGAATTCCTCCTCGCTATCGCCACTCTTGTAATAAATAAACTTTTTTTTCTTTGTAATGAAACACGTGCACAAACTCGTTTTCAAGGACGAGCTAGAAAACGAAACGAAATGCAAAGCAAAGAAAAGAAAATAAATGGATGGGATGGAAGGGAATGCAACGGCGAAGTCGTCGTTTCCCTGCGGCGTCTGCGTCTCGGTTAAGATGTCCTCTTCTGGCATGGGTCCCAACGAGTTTGTACTAGAAATAAATGGACAGGCGAGGCGACCACAAGAATTAAAGTAGTCCCTTCCTGTGATTCTGATGTGATGAGTGGATTTCATTGTGTACACGTCCGATGGCGACCTGCTGCCCGAAACCTAGCTCTAGCTAGCACCACCAATGCAAATATGCAAATCAGCAAAAAGCAATGCAAGCGGCGCGAGGCCTCGGCAGGTCCTCTTGTCCACCATCATCATATCATAATATCGCTTCTGCCTGTGGTTGTGCGCTTTATCTTTTCGTTATCGGGGATAAAGTTAGTTAGACGCTGGAGTTGCCTTTCACAGATTTCGCATATATATAAATATATTAGTATGATCAGTATAATTGTTCTTTCCCTTTGTAAAAGTAGCGCTAGTTCTTCATATATTTACGAGTTTGTTTGTGCATGATCCTCACATCCTCGTATATTTTCTGGAGTGCAGTTGTCTATGTATCTACATTTTTTTATCAAGTTTATATATCTACATGCATCTTTCGAGAACTGCTCCGGTGCTCCTCCTTTCTAGAAATTGCACGTATCTCAAAGCATATGTATTTAACTGAACACTTTTTTATTATAATACAAATCTGGATCCCGCTTGATCGAGCCTAGGCCCCTAGCCCTTCTAAGCCCAGACCAGATCCGGTCCATTTATTTTTACCCTAGCCACCGACACCGATCGAGGCACCTTGGATTGGATGCCGCCTCATTTGCGTTCGTTGCTGCAGCATGCGGCATGTTGTCGTTCGCTGAGTTCAAACTCGCAGGCCTTGAACGCCTTCCTCCGGAGACCCCATGTACAAGCATCACACGACGTATGTACGATTCACAAGGAGCCATGCGCGGAGGAGCGACTTGAGGCCTCTTCAGCTCTCAGTCGAGGACGCAAGCGTGCGGCACCTGGCGGCCGGCGCCCTATCGTCCACTACCGTGGACTGGATTTGGGCTGAGCCAGCCTGGGCTTGGAAGGTCCACGCCCATGCAGGATAATAATTAAGAAAAAAGTTAATTAATTAAATGGGTTGCTTTGAGATGCGTGTAATTTTTAGGAGGAGGAGTACCGGAGCAGTTCCCGCGTCTTTAATTTTCTCAAAGGTAACCACTACACTGCTTGTTTACATATAAAATATACTTGCGAGAATCTAGCTTTTTGGAAGCCTTATATGAGAAATATACTCTACCACCTGCAGTATAGGTGGTTACCTGTACCTAACAAAGTTGTGCAAAACGCCAAGGCCTCTAGCAATCCATGCATTACCGGTGAATTGAGTGATCAGTTCACATGCTCTGCTAAGCTGCTTATATAAAATGCAATGCAAAATTAGACTAGGTCAGGTCAAGCATCAGGGTTCAGCTCCCTCAGGGGCAGGGGCACTGTACGTAGCAGAGCAATAGAGATAGAGGAGGAATCGGAGGTCGATCAGATGCATGCATGGTTTTGGTTGGTGAATGCAGGGCCCTATCTCAACGAGACATTCGACAGGTTGCTATTGCTTGCACGCATACATACGTACTGTGCTGCTAGCTGCTGATCACTCACTGGCACCTCGTGATGAGCCGGCAAGGCCGGCATCGATCGATCAGCTCCATCGATCGCGTCGATCTCTTCTTCTTCATCAGATCACCTCACCTGGCATCTGGTATCTGGCTTCTGGCAAGGCGCGCGGCAGCCTGCTGCTTCTCGCGCAAACAGGATTGGGTGCTCGGCGGGAGGCAGCGGCCAACCAACATCAGAGTGGAAACCAGACGTCGCGCCAAACACACTTCGAAATATATACTCCAGTCTCCAGGGCGCACCATATGTAGTAACTTGAAGAATCTTCTTTCCAGTTTTTTCAGACTGTTCCTCTTGCTTTTGTGCAACTAACGCCCGCCGCGCCTTGAGAGACCACTGTCATTTCTTTAATTTCTTGACAACACGGCAAAGGTTTTACATGCTAGCTTGCTAGCTAAGTGTAGCTAATAACTTTCACGGTTTCACCAACACTTAGCTAGCATTGCATCAACGTAACACCACGTACGCACCGTTGGTTGGTTGGTCATCATCATATCGGCTGAGAAGTACGTAAAAATTGGCTTGCATCGGTTATTAGTTATATGTGTAACTTGGCTCGATAGATCGGACATCAGAAAGGGCCAGACCCAGCTAGGTCTCCCTTGGTGATTTCATCAGGTAGCAGTCACGTACGGGCTTCCTTGACCGCCGCGCCGTCACGCACGGCACGGCTTCCATTCCAAGCATGATGACGGCGTAAAGCAACCAAACTGTGCAATTAATTTTTGAGCCGACACCGTAAGTAAGTTTGATTGCAATGGTCCAAATTTTGAAATTTGGAGCAACTAAACATGGCCCAAGCTTGATGACGGCGCACCAAACCAAGCCGACACCGTACCTTGCAATGGTCCTTGACTGGGCTTAAGGAAGCAGGAAGCTTCTTTCGATCTGGCCCGCAACTTGCATTGGGACTGACTGACAAAACAAACGGCCAGGGCATTGTTGTTAGGTAGTTCATCAGCTCGGTACTACTGACGACGACGACGACACCTCCTATGACTTTTGTGGCTGTGTGTAAACCAAGTCCATTCTCGCTCTCCTCACTTTTGCCATATGCCCATCATGTATAGTACGTATCGTGTTAGGTAACCGGTACTACATCAGTACATACGACTAGTCATCATGAGTTTTTTCCCCAGCTCTCGACGAGCCAGTATCCCAATTGCAGCGAAGTGATAATAAGAGAAATGAAAATACTAGCGTCCGGACGTCCGGATATAAACAATTGATCCGTACGCTTCCGTTCTACCCGTCTTCTTCCCTTTTTGGATCCGGAGGCTTTTGCTGCGCTCATTCCCTTTCGGATCCAGAGGTTTTCGCTCTACCCGTCCCACCCCAGTGCTCATCCTCTTCCAACTCCCTCCTTTCACCTATTTTTTAGAGATCATGCCTTGGCACAGTTTTTTATTAAGCAGGAGTAGAAAATTTTGTTACAAAACTGTCAAGTTATAATAATCCAAAGATTACCGAAACCCACAACCCACACCTCTCACACTTCTCGCACGTGGTTGTGATTACACAAGATACTAATTTGCGACTAAGACAAGGATACACCTTAAACCTCGTCCATCCCGACCATATCCAAGTTCATGGCCATCGGGTCAAATTCCCCACCGAAAAGAAGCTGTAGCGCCTCCTGCTTGGAGGCCGATAACGGTGCCTGGAAGGTTGATTTGTACTTGTGCACCGTCTCAGAGTCGACGTTGGGTGAGCTTGCTACGACTCCCAGCTTCTGCATGAGCACGCACTGAGCCTTCTTGGTGGAGTCCACCTCGCGTGGCTTCACTGCAAGGCGGTCACTGCGCCGCTGTGACTGAAAGGAGACCGAAGTCCTAGGCCTACACAGCCTAGGCGGCCCACGGATGAGGGGCGTCTGCAACGGAAGGCAAAGCCGCGCCTCCAGCGTTTCATGAAGCGTAGGGGGTACATGCTCCGACGACGCTGGCCAACCCGCGTCGTCATCGCTCGAGGAGTCCCTCGGCGTGCCCAGCATCTCCATTTCCCTAGGCGAAGTCAAGGTCAGCTGGACATCGTTAGGATCGTCGACCACGATGGTGACCATGTCCCCATGGCCTGGTTCTGAAGCGGAGCGACGGTTTGGGGGCGGAACTTGGATTGCCACTTCAACCAACATTGGGTCCATCGTCGAGTCAACTGCGGGTGGCAATTGCCTCGGCCGGCTCCACAGCACCAGGTCCGCCTCAGCCTCAAGACCAACTACCTCGCACGACGAGCTAGGGCGGCAATCTAGCTGATGCTCGCGTGCAAAGTTGCACCCGAGCCAGGCAAAGACGTTGGCGCGCCTTCGACACCTCGTACATCGAGGCAAGGTGCCCCGAACTCCACCGATGAGACAATGGATGATTCCCACCAACGAGCGCGACAAGAACAAGGGAAAAGTTGGCTTCGGACGCGGCGAGCCCCGTGTTCTTTGGGACAATGAATACCTCGATCTTGGGACGGCTATCAGTGTCACCCAAAGGTGGTGATAGCGGTAGGTTGCTGCTGTGGTGCTACTCCGGCGATGATGATGGCCTGGTCAACTGCTGCACACGACGAGGCGACGATGGTGGCGGCGCTAGACTTGGCAAGGCGCGACATCCCGGCGATAAGCTGGGTCGCCTTGGCACAGCGGAGCGACGCGCCCTAAAGCCACCCTGGCCGAGCCCGACCTCCAAGGACAAGGGCTTGCACGCCCGATGAATGGCCTCGCTTGCACGCCCTGGCACGATGGTTGATATCCCGGCAAAGGAGACAGTGGGATGGGTAGCAACATTGGGCGGCGACATGGTCACGCGCCAAGGAGTTGAAGCAAAGGCCCACCAGCTCCGATGGGATGGGGCGCCGGTGTCTAGAGGCCGATCTCCCCGTTGACGCCAACGCCAACGGCTCTCAACGATATGGAACCCATCGGCGTCGATGATGGTCCCATGGTGGGGACTATTGGTATTTATTAACGTGTCACTTGTTTTAAGTAGTCACCCTATGTTGTTGACATTCCTTAGCATCTTTTACTAAGTTGTCATCCCTAGTGTTGGTGCCAAAATGCTTGTTGGTACTACCTAGTGCCACTTCTAGAATGACACTAAGAAGTACTTTAATATTTCATGTGACTAGAAAGAGTATATATAAATGAAAGGAATTTGCAAGCGCACAGATAATATACCATTGTAGCACTTTATCCGAGAGTATTTCAGGTATCGTTATTTATATTTTTACCAAAGGGAAGGTCTAGCAAGGATATGTATTGATAACTTATGCTATTGATGGAGATATAAACCATAACCAATATTCTACTCATAATAGGGATAAGTCAAGAGATAAATGGGTATGATAAGTAATGATCAATGATAATTAATCACTTAGAGTACTCCTTTCTATGGCATTAGCATGGTTAAGTAGAATATTAGAGGAATAATTCCTAAGTCATTCTTAATTACAAGTCAAAGCATACATTGATTAGTGCAATTACACCTAGTAATCATGACTAAGATCAACTTCATCTCTACACATAAGGGATATTATTAAGGAAGATTAAGAACAGAGCTTGTATTCTTTCGTAACTAGATCCTACTTGTATACCTATATTCAGGCAGTGGACTACAAAGGACTCAACGGGAGTGTCACATCCACGATCTACCACATGGCCTAGAATATAGGGTGTATCCGTAGGTAAACAACGTATAAGCACCACGCTTACATAATGTCGACCACTCACCCCATGTACTTTGGAGTCAAGCACTATATGAACTTATGCATGAACATGATGATAATCTAACTATACTAAGCATATAATCAAAGTAGACGATGAACATTATAACTAAAAATATGATAAATATGAAGATGAATGTCATAACAATTATAACAAACATATAAAAGTAATAAGAGATACAAAAGAGAGGGTACAAAGATTATACCAAACCACGCTCTTGACACAATCGGGAATCCAAGCGAAGCCTGCTTGCCTCTCTCCTAGACCTAGCCTAACTAGCTATGCCCTAAAATATGATGGAGCTCTGAGGATGATTAGGGTTTCTATCCTCTCAAATGACTTATACCTCAGGGGGGTGGTAGGGGCTGGTATATATAGATCGGAGCGTCAATCCTAAGCCCTCGGATCAAACCAACTTGAATAAACGGCGTAGATACAATCTAGGAGATGGTGGAGAACCGACATAACAACGGGGAGGCTAACATGGGGGCCCCACCTAGTGGCATCTCGCTCTCCTCTTCGGTGTGGTGTCCTCTCGAGTCTTTTGGAACCTTCTGGGGTTGTTTTCGCTATGGATAAGCGCTATTAAGTCTGACATCTAGGTCCGCCTTGACGGTTTTCTAGATAAACCCTACAGAAAATATAGATTCACCAAAATTCATGAAATTTATTAGTTTAAACCCCTAGACCTTCGTTGGTGATTATATTTATACCCTTATGCATGTTATATTGATGATTTATAATGGTTATTAACTACCGTCAATAGGGACACATGCATGACCGTGGGCGTTGACCAGACGTGTTAGGCACCAGCGCCTCACGTCGCGGGCTGAGGCGGTGGTGAACAGGCACCCTAGCCGCTTAGGTGTGGACCAAGGCGATGTTGTGTGGGCACTCGCATGATCGGCCTCGATGGTGCCCTGAGATCGCCAGGTGTGCTGTACCTACGATGATGGTGAGGCTTTAGCTTGGTGGCCTCACCATCCACGGCAAGCGTGCTCTGTGACGTGTCCGGAGCCACCGCCTGTGGGGGAGGAGAGGCCCGGTGGGACCTACGAGTAGTGTCTAGGTACGATGAGCGACTCGCAGATGATGTGAGGTCATCGTCAGAATTGCTAGCACATGGGTCTTTCATCCCAACGTAGGAATTTACTCCACCTTGCCGATCGATGGGTGAGGAAGAAGGGCGGAGCATGGGGGGAGAGGGAGGACGGCGAGGTCCTGCCTGAGCCTATGGCCTACATGGTGGAGATGGGCGACGACGCGTGGGTGGGCGCTGGGAGGCTAGGGCCGGGGTTGGGGTGCCCCGGAGCCATGGGCATGCGAGGGGGTGGCGACACTTCATTAGCTTTGTTGTCGTCATCATCATTGTCTTCATCCTCATGCTCGCCTTCCATGACATCCTCGACGACAACCGGCACCTCATCCTCCTTCTGCTGCTCCACCATCTTGGGCGCGACCTCCTTGTTGTCATCATCCGGGAAGATAGGGGTGGCGAGAGGAGAGAGGGGGAGGCGGGTCCCTCCTTCTGTTGTGGCAAGGTGTGGCAGAACCACCCAAAATAACACGCTTTCGGAGGTGCTCATCTTCCACTAGACACTAAGCACCTCGAAAGTGAGCTACATCAGATAGTTTCATCGAGCACACCCCAATGGAGAACTCAAAACAATCCATGTTTTACATCTAGATTCTAATAATAAGTACAAGCTTATAATATTTAGTCCATTTAATACAAAAAGAGTTCTTGAAAATTATTTATTACAATATCAGAGTTTAGAGTGCTATAATTAAACAGTGGAATGAAAATAAACATCTAGCGAAAACGATACAAGGATTCATCTGTGCCCACTAGAAGAATCCTCCACACAAGAGCTACTCCTCAAGCTGCACCTACAACATGGGTAAAATAAACCATGAGTACACAATGTACTCACAAGACTTACCTAACTAGTGGAAATAGTTTCCCGACTCTCAAGGATATGATAGGCAATATGGGTTTGCTGTTTTCTTTTTGTTTGCGGAAAGCATTACTAATAGTTCATCTTTGCAGTCAAGTTTTATTAGTAGTCATGATTACTTCATTAGCTAACCATTCTAGGTAAGCACGTACATGTTCTACTTTCAAGCAAGGGTTAAGCAATCAGAATTATTTCATCATCTTTCATCTTTCAGTTCTTACTACGGTGCTAGACTATAGCCAAGTCGTACTGTCTCACAAAAACAATGATTCATGAACTAATGTATCCCAGCTGGGTACCCCAAAACACATGCCCCATTGGTACCCCAGGCACAAACAAGACCAACCCATTCTACTCCTATCATGGGGTCTAGGTCCCCGTCCAAACTTGGACTCTAAGCTCCCACACTTGAGACCCGGTCTTATTATGGTGCTTAGACCTCCACCTTTCTCCGCCTCCAATCAGTCGGTCCGGAAAGAGCCAAAACCCACGACAAGAGCGTAACAAGCCTTCCCGCTCCCATAAGCATGTATGTGCTCAGGATAATAAGTCCATGACCTGACTATCATCCATAGCAACGGACGGTCCTTAATCGACACGAACAGGAAAAATAGTGTAACCAAGCTTAGCCCCGTTAGCCGTGGGACACAACCTGTTACACCCACCAATACCCATACCATATCCCTGCCCTGGTCTCTATTTTTCTTTCATCATTTTATTATGAAAGTAATAATAATCCCCTATTGTGAGCAACGGCATGTTACTCACGCTACCGATGACCTAAGCATAGCATCTACTCGAACATGCACTAGTAAGACTCTTAGGATGGGTGTATCTATGCAAGTGGTTTCCATAAAATTCCTATAACATAAATGCACAACACATATATATATATATACGGTGAATTATAAAATAGAGGTTATGTACCGAGGCTTGCCTTGGGCAGGCGCGGTGTCAGCTAAGTCAGTTAGTGGTGGCTCCGAGACCTCCTCCTACGAGAATCTCTTCCTCGTACTCCTCGACAATCTCCTCGAACTTCGTGATCACCGGTGGTCATGATCTCCGCCAACTCATTCTCTACATGCATGTGATGATGATGATGCAACACTTAGCATTTAGGCAACAATAACTCTTAGACTAAAAATACGCATATTAAGCTACTAAGCTAACTATCATCTTTATGAAGCAAAGTGTTGGGTTCAACTAACAAACACCTAACTTTATAAATGAAGAATATATCTTTATTTCTATTGATGATTTAATGTATATTGAAACAAAGAGCATTAAACTACCCTAATGCTTAGTCTATTCTAAAGCTACAAAAATTATAATGAGCACATAATAATACAATAAAGCTACTATAAAAATTTTAGGACTAAAGCTATCACCAATTTACCACAAAAATGCCTACAATAATTAACTTAATATTATTAAGCATCCTCAAATGATTTAATAGCCCCTAATGTCAACATATATAAACATGAACTAAATACACCAACATCTAGAGCACAATTTTAGGAATCTAACAAATTTTGTTTCATAATTTTTGGACACCTACATGATTTTATATTAATTATCAAAGATCAGCTCAGAAATTAAATTAGAAAACTATTTCTAATTTCTTATGAAAACAAAAAGTGAATCTCTCTGCGAGGCCCACACGCGCGGGCCGTGTGGCCTAGCGCGTGAAGCGGCCCACACGACACCGGCCCGTGGTGGAGAATCTAGCGTGCGCTGGCGCTTTTGCAAAATAGACCTCGCACTTCTCCCGAATTATGGTGCTTTTACAAAATAGACCTCGCACTTCTCCCGAATTACAACTAAGTCCTAACGTTATTTCCCCTTCTCACAAGACTTCTCACTTAACCCCCTGGCTTCTTGGAATTCCCCCGCACACCCCCTCGGCTAACCCATGCCTAGCGGCGCGACAAGCGGTGGCATGGGGTGGCCACGTCGGCCACCAGAGACACGCACTGGCTCGTCGGTCAGGCCGACACTCAACTATGGTCCAACCGCCTACACCGAGCAGCAACGTGGGGCGGCGGGACGCACTGGAGTGAGCTGTGGTGGCGCGCGACCATCCTCGATGGTGACGCGACTACTCCAGCAAACCAGGGCACCTAAGGACCTAACCGGCTAGCGAGTGAGCATCAGTAGACTACCATGGACCTAGCCGAGGTGATGGTTGGAGAAGAGGGTGACGGAGAAGGGCTGACATCAACGGCGACGGGGAGGCGGTAGCGGTTCAGCTAAGGCACGCAGGGTGAAGAGGGAGTCAAGGCGATGCTAGTGGTGCAGGTGAATTAGTTTGGGATGGGCGGTAGGAGGGCTGCCCTCGACCATGGCCGAGCGCAGCTTTAATGGCACGTCGGCAGGAAAACTCCAAATTGGAGCTTGGCCTTTCACGGTTCAAGGTTGGGTGGGGTCGGGCAGCGAGAGGACATGATGTTGAAACCGTGGATGCACTGAATTGAATGGAGGTGATCGTTTGCTGGGTAATTTGATGGCGCGGCTCGACGGTGGCAGCAGAGGGAGAAAGAGAGAGACAGGGCGCGGCTAGTGGGCTCAGCTCAGCCTCGCCTTGGCAGGATGCGGTCGACGTGATCGTAGAGGACAAGCGCGTGTGTCCACGACTGGCATGGCCCGCGTGACCACAGTGCCATAAATGGCAAGGCGACGATGAGGTCTACCACCTGCGTGTGGCTACGGCGAGCACCAACCAAGCCAGCAGCGGGGTAAGGGTGCAGAGGAAGGCACGGACGTGACAGTGAGGCGACGGCACCTGTAGCGGCTGTGTCACGACATAGGGTGGGTTGGCGGTGCTGCGGGACAGCCCACATGCCCACGGTGGCAGAGCGAGCGGTAGCAACGCAGCACGGCGTCGTGGTGGCATCGGTAGTGGCAACGTGAAGCAGGGTAGCAGTGCGCGGATGCGACAACGAGGTGATAGTGCCGGTAGTGGCTTCGTTGCAGCGCGGGGTGGGGCAGGCGACAGCAGCAGCTCCACGCGGCGGGCCAGCGGCAGCCGGGCCACAGCCAGCGCGGTGACGCCGAGCGCCCGAGCTAGGTGACCGCGTCCACCCGGCGAGTAAGGCCGAGAACGTGTCGTGCACGCATTTTAAAGCACCTATAACAACTAAACGATTGCTTCTGGACCTAAACCATCTTCATCATGCTCAAGATGGCATATGAGGCTACCAACCCGATCTAAAACATGACACCACCTCCTAACTTGATTTCACAAAATAAATCGTCAAACATTGCACTGTCTTATTGCTTATATATACTTAAATTCTTCTAAGTCCTTGAGCTGAATTTGATTTTCAAGTTCTATTTTTAGGCTATTAGAAATGTTGGCTAGCAATGTTATTTTTCTACAACAAGTATTTCATTGTCATCTACAAAGTTCATGTTCCAAATTCTATTTAAGTGCCACATATATGTTCTATAGTATTTTTGTTCAATAAAAATTGGTTTTAAACCCTACTTGATATACATGAGTTGTGTAATAGCTTCTCATTTAACATTTTTATTGATCATTTTAGGTTGCAATACTTCATCTATTCATTCCATCACATGCATTATCACGTAAATATGATGCTTATGACATGATTTAGTAATTTGTTTAGAGCCTAATACCGAGGGTGTTACACAAGGGAGGCTGGGGTGGTGGCCGCCGGCGTCGGGAAGGTCATCGGCTGACTGGGTGTTACACAAGTGGAGGATGCAGTGGATCTAGGCGGATTGGGTGTAGGTGTGGGGGCGACGAGGAAGGGGAGGAGAGGGTCGGGGTCGTCTATCCCTCTCACCCGGTCGTTAACCCCCCTCCTTTCACTTGTGATGCAATAGTAAACCACGGTAATGGTGGTTACGCTTCCTATAGCGCTTGCAGACACCGCACCTTGCCATACGTGAGGGACAGAGATGGAAAGAGAGACAAATGGATCCAATGTTAATCATTGCTTGCAACATTCAAGAACAAAGGTTTGCAACATACTAAAACCTCATGTAACATTAAAAAATATGTTGCAACATCTTAAATCGACAGTTGCAACATCTAAAAAACATGTTGCAACATCTTAATTAAATCGACACATGTTGCAATATCTCAAATCGACTATTGTAACATAAAAAAAACATGTTGCAACATCTCAAATCGACTATTGCAACATCCAAAAAAAACAAGTTGGAATATCTTAAATCAACAGTTGCAACATCTAGAAAAACATGTTACAACATCTCAAATATACTGTTGCAACACCGTGAAATCCAATTTTATGCTGAGTGCCATAAAACACGCAACATCTAAGATTTACTGTTGGAGCATATCGCATACTACAACATAACCCACCGTACAGTGCAGATCCGGTTATGCTTGCCTGTGAAGGAGCTAGGCCACCATGGAGGAGATTGTCGCCAGCGAGGCCACACCTCCACCGTATAGTATTTCATCGTCGAGAGACACCCGACCATGGAGGATTTCATAGCAA